AATGTTAATTTTGATATACGTACATACGTACAGTCTTCATGATTTTCCGCTCTACAATTTCATTTGTCGCTCATAAAATTAAATAATATGCACGCGCGGCGAAGCACCATAGGATTAACAGCAGATGCATCTCTTGCAGTACGTCAAAAGCGTACCGCAGGAAATGTATATTTCCGAAAAAAAGGAAAATGTAGAACACTCTCACATATGCATATCAAGGGTATCACGCATGGACGTATGTTTATTCGTCCATTTACAAACTCCTGAAAATTTCTCGCATATTATATTCATTACCAGTATTACAATCTCAACACATATTGCATCTTTGAATCACGGCTTTCATGTAAATTACTTTTTTTGATGTACAAAATTAATTCAAGTTAAACAAAATCGCATGCTCGCGTAGAATTTTCTTTATTCAATTCGGCAAGCAATTTTCACGTCGTCATTCGCGTAATTTCACAAAAATATATTTATCGCGAACTACGTATTTGCATTAAAAAATCCTTTTATCTTAAGTATAATCATATAAGCAGAATATAACAAAAATCACATGTTGATTTATTCAAAATTACATAAGAATCTATTTTATTATATTCGTGAAACGACAGGTAAAGCCAATCCTAACGGGCATTAAATTCCAGGCTTCCTATCTTCTTAGAGTATATTATTCATGGCTAATAAATAAAATCGCGACCGCTCTTGGAGGCTTTGTAAGTTATAGAGGAGATGTGCTCTGGCGCTATTATTCGACACAATATTTCGAGCCAAATGTTAACCGATGATACGTATAGTTTATGAATCGGATGACGAGGGGAGAATCATATTATTATGATAACGAAAGGAAGATCTTATTCTGGCAATCCACTCTCTTTGACGCTGGCTTATGTTAAAGAAAGATGCGGTATCGCTACGTTGATCTCGAAAGCGGCGTACAATGCAGCCGGGATCTCGATTTGTACCTTAGAAGGAGGTGAGAAGAATTTCATGCTGACTCGCGAAAAGTTCGATTCGGCCAAATTGGATTGAGCCGAAATTTGATTTGCCGAATTTTCAACGACGACTCGACCTCTCTATCTTTTTCTGCGCTGACAAGCGATTGTTTTATTAAAATCAACGAAATAATTCTGTCATTTCGATCAAATAAGCTAAGAAACGAAGCTTCTTTTTTTTTTAAGCGAGTATTCAAAATTCTATCAGATTACACGTTATTTGCGAGAGAGATAATGAACGAGAGAATTTAAGATAACGGATAGTTTAAATGAGATACTCTTCGGAATCGTTATCGGCGCGTACCGCGATTGGTTTTCCAATCATCAAATAAACTTTTTAGCAGTTTGATCGGGAACCGTTCAAAGTGCAGAAGTTTGTTTGTTACATTAGATATGCGTCTGCCTTATGCACGTCTTCCTAGAACGTGCGCACCATTCTCGTAATTCTGCCGCTAACGACAATCCATCGAACTTTTCGCGAACAAAGTTCAAACTACGCTACTTATAATAATTTGTCGCTACGTTGCTACTAAGATGGTGGAATATTAACATAAAGTTTATGCGAGCGTCATAAAACTTTCGTGAAAATGCGTCCGCAAAAAATGCAACATTCTAACGTTAAATTGCTTTTATCTCTCGCGCGCAAAAATTGTTCCCGGTTCCCGATGAAATCGACCCAAATAACTAAAGAGAATCTACGGACAAAATAATGGATAAAAAATTACCCTGCGCTTCATTTTTTTAGCAACGCGTATTTGACTGAGAAAAATATCGTAAAATTATTGACAGTCGTTGTCGGCCCGCGTTTCCTCTCGAAACGAAATCGACTCCTGCTTTTTCGAGTGGATTGTAGGAGCTATGGGGGGAGATTAAGCTCGTGAAAGCTCGCGTCATCAATCAAGCAACACGAGCGAGGAAGCGAGAAAGGAGCACGACTACGGTTCCGCGGACGGCACGCGGAATGTCCGATCCGATGGAGGAGCGAAGGGGCTTCTCTCGTAAGGACGATGAGAACGGGTGAGAGATGGCTGTAGTTGCCGGCAGCAGATGCGTGACGTCGCCGCTACCACCACAATCCCCGCTGCACCTAATGCACCCAATTATACCAGGCGTGCGCGATGCATCCGGCTCGGTGAGCACGGCAATTCCGGCGAAGTTCATCGCACGTGAGGGGAAAGCCCAGGTCGTATGCGCAGGGAGGCAGAAAAAGGTCGTGGCGGAGTTAGGTGGTAATATTATAGTAGTGGTAGTAATCGGCAGCAGGTCACGCTCGAGATGAGATGGAGAGGGAAGGAACGTAGATGATTAACAACAGGTTTATTAATCATGAAGACCGGGCCAGCTAGCCCGCGGGTTACAAGTTCAATTGCAGCTCCGCTTGGTTCGCTTCTTGTTCATGCTCTCTCTCTCTCCCCCTCTTTCTCTTTCACTCGCGTTTCTTCGTGTCGTTACAGGCGCGGCGCGTTATTGTTCGCTCATAAAGGAACGAGTCCGCATAAAATATGACTCTCGACGTTACTTCAGAGTCGTCTCGCCGGAAAGTTTCGCGTCGAGAAGGAAAGACGGGGCGAGAGACGACAACGTTTGCGCGGACGACGGGGATAAGAAACCGGATAGCGATGTCTTTCAGAGACGAAACTTTCGGGAGGCCAATTATCGCGCCGAGTTTTGTAGGTACGCGGCAAAAGCAATACCGTTCTAATTGCAGCCGAGAGTGAGAAATTTTGTGAAAACTACGTTTAATTTGAAGCAAGACGATGTCTAAGGTTTGATAATTATCTATCGCGATTCGCGCGAATTGTACTCGTAAAAATTTATAAATTTTGCGAATGGAATATCGCACCGACTTCTATATAAATATATTTTACATCTTTATTTATATATAACCGCGTAGTAATTAAAAATCATCATCATTAGTCAGGTCTATGCAATCGTGTATTCAAACCGCGAACAAACGTGGAATAATTATTCTTGAGATTACGCGATTCATTTATCATTTTGCATTCATTGTCTCTCGTTATATTCAAAAATTTAATCCCGCGGTTAGTCTATCTTTCGTGTGCCTCGGAAATATCAGAGAAATATCATTACCGCGATATCGTCAAGATCATTATCGAACCGCCGTAATAATCAAGTTCTTTCCCTTACCTTCGTGTTCGAGTCTGTTTTTCATATACGCGCGCGAGTATCCGCGGAAAATGAGCGAGTCGTAAACGAGGCCGGAGACTATGAGTGGAAGGAAAGCAGTTTCAGAGAGCGGGAGAAGAATGCCTAACGACTAGAAGATGAGTCGTTTCGCTTGATAAGGGGAAAAGCTTTCGCAAACTCGCCGGATAACGGAACGACGAGGAGCGGCGAAGAAAAGCCGCCCGAGCTTTATCAGTCATTTGTGATTTCCACTTGCCGCCTCTCGCGAGGAAAATGCGACAACCGGCTTTTCTTCCTTCGAAAAGATATTTTCCGCCGTTCTACCTTCTCAAACGAGAACCATTCTCAATAGACCTGCGATTGTTACTACTCTCACACAATTGTCGGAGTTTGTAAACATACGTTTTTGCGGACAAAAAATCGAATTGAAGGAATTTAACATAAAGATCATTTTCCTATCGCAGATTTTTGCGTAAAATATATATTTCCGACTGCGCAATCTTTTCGCATGCCGAGTAAGATTTTCTCAA